TTTTTACCTCTGTGATCTGTATTATTTTTCTACTAACTTGACAATTTTAGTTAAATTTTACTTCATTTCCATTTTATATCTTTTCATTTCTGACCCTCAAAATCCCAGCTGCAAATTCGTAGTTCCAAATAGTCCTGCTATTAATCCACTAGGCAGGTTAAACCCTAAGCTTCAGAGAAGTGCCTACAAGAACCCCAGATAATAATATGTTAGTATTTTTACTGAAATTATATTTGTCCATAAAGGAAACAAAACAGAATATAAATAATATGTTTTCCTCTATTTCAAAAGGAGTTGGAGCCCCGGGAATTTTAGTCCAAAGACGGGAAGTCTTTAACTCATTGTTAACTATGAAGGAATTGCCCACATATGTCAGTTAATTTGTTTTGCAGGTCTGAGTAGAATTAACAATTTTGTATTAATATTTGAGTTCTAATTCCTAAAAACTGAGAAAATGAGAGCAGATTTGTTCATTTTCATCTAAATCAGTTATCTCTTGGTGCATTGAATTGCCTCAAGACTTAGAAGTCCAACCCAGTAAGCATTTGTTAACTCTTACTTTATTGGAGGAAGCCAGTGAGTCAGGAGCAGCTTAGCTGGGCAATTCTGTCTTGCAGTTACTAGAAAGGCTGCCACTAATGCCTCTCAGGGCTGCAATCTGAAGGTTGACCGAGATGGAACCTCCACCTCATCTGTCACCTGGCTGATAGTGGCCTGAATAACATTCATAAGAATCCCATTCAGTTTTCAGGGAACTCTATTGGAAGTACTACCACCAGCTTGCACTGAAAGGGACAGAGAAACAGAGGAGAATGTATTATTTACATTCTGTTTAGATGCCTTCCACATGAGTCCCTGTTCCTCAGATTGCTTGAGGGTTTCCTGACATAGGAACTGGCTCTCTTATAGTCAATGATCCCAAAACTAAAGTGCAACCTCGAATACCTTTTATTACTTGGCATTAGAAGCCAGCTAACACTGTGACTCTTCACTCTGACTTTGCAAAGGCCTGTTACACATGTCAGCATTGATTCCTTATGGGAGGGGACAAGGCAAGGCCCTAAGTACTATGAGGTATTTAAAGTACCATAGTTATAATATGAAGATTTTATGGCCATACTAGATGTTGTTTGCCAGGTTTCACCCTCTGGCTCACAAAGATTCATGTCTCTTCAGTGTGTAAAGTGCATTCATCTTCTCCAAGAGCCTTCTAAAATTACATTTTCTTAGAGCATCTGCCTAAAATCCAAATCAAGTCAGACCAAAATGAAGCTCCTAGGGAGTTCCAAGAGGACAGAAAGCTGTTTGGGTTCAGTGACTTGAATACAACTATTCAAGTTGGGTTCTCTAAAGACACGTGAACAGACACACACAAAGTGCACTACACCAGTAAGAAATGCAAAAAGAAACCAATTTGTACACTTGGATTCAAAAGAGGAAAATAAATGTCCTGGACCATCTCAGTTCTGAAATCAAGCCAGGCATATATTGGTTATTTCTTGATTAGGACTCAACCCTCCTCTTTCTCTGAAATGGTTTTCCATGACTCTTAGCTCTGCTCTTCATGTTCTTAGTTCTACTACTCTAAGACATCCTTCACACGTGTGTGTGTGTGTGTGTGTGTATGCAAGAATTAAGAAATTCCCAGTCAACATGTGTATACGTACACACACACACACACACACATACACACACATATATGCATATTCGTATATATCTTGCAGTCTGTGTGTGTAACTATAGTTTTCTGCACACAGAAGTTTGGGGCTCTCAAAGTCATTCAATTTTGAACCATCTCTGTTCCATTCAGTACAAGTTGGTGGTTGTACTACCAATAGAGTTCCCCTAAAAATGGAGAGGATTCTAATGAATGTTATTCAAATTTGCTCCATTAAATAAAAGGCCATATCTATCATATCATAAAGATAAACTAACTCTCCCCCTCCTTGGGCTTCTGGTCTATTAAGGTCTATTAAAATTATTAGAACTTCCATTGTTTAAAGTGTAGATGTGCTAGGTATACCGATAAGCTACTGAGAGGATTCTTTTGTATAAGTGGATTGCTTTCTGACATGCCACTAATGTCTTTCTGAGGTCTTAATGAATTTTATGAATTTTACAGTCATATCTTTCTACCATTGTTAGATAATGCTTTCCTGGTATTTAATCATTGATTGGGAATTTCTTGATTCTCGCATTGTTTGCTATCTGAATAGAGTGATTATAAAAATAACATTTAACATTAAGTCCATCAGGTTTTGGCTTCCTTAGATTTAGCATTTCTTCCTTAGTTTCTCTCTCTCTCTCTCTCTCTCTCTCTCTCTCTCTCTCTCTCTCTCTCTCTCTTTTCTTTTACTAAAAACACAAAGAAAATAACAGATAGTACCTTTAATACTCTGCCTGGAAATATCCTCAGATTGAATACATAATTTAGGAAATACATCTTTTTTCTTTCCATATTATCATAGACAACAATGTTGCTAAAGTTCTCCCCACAACATAGCACAGGTCAAATTTTCTCCCATTTGCAATAACAATTTTCTCGCCTTCCTTTAAGCTACTACTAAAAATCTCCTCAAGAATGATTAGGATTCTGACCAACAGTTCTTCTAAAATCCATCCAGCTAACTTGCATATCTCAGCCCTTACATTGCTACCACATTTTTAGGACTTTGATACAATTTTTTTCCAGTACTAAGCAACATACTCATTATTTCTTATTCCATAGCTAATCAACACCCCCCCCCCAATAAATCTACAACCATGGTTGTCTTTTCTTACTCGTCATGGACCTCTTCATGGGGCTGCTCAATGGCATAGTGGTGATTTTCCAGAGGTAGCAATCATGGAGACAAAATTGGAAACCGGCCTCGGAAGTGTCACACATTGCCACTACATGTAATTTCCTGTTGTCCTCAGGGGATATCCCTAATTAAAGGTGGAAGGGGTCTACAAAATGTTGCAGATACTAGTTGGGCAAGAATACATGGAATCCATGTTAGAAACTTAAATAACAATACGAGAGAAAAGAACCCTATATTTATTTATTTATTTATTTTAATTTTTAAGAACCTTATATTTAATGAATACATAGTATTTTGTCCCATAATTATCTTCTCTGAGAATATACCTTGTGTAGGAAAATGAAAGGACTTGACAATTTCAAACTTGAAAATTATCAAGACCAAACAAAACATTGTTCTGGGAGACTTATAAAGCCTTGTTTTGTGAACTTAATTATGTCTAATTTGTAGTGATCAGTGTTTGTGCAGCTGCTTTGCTGAAGAAGCGCTGTTCCCCCAAATATATCAACTCTTTTTGGAATCTCACAAAGTTAGTGGGGACATTCAGAGACACCCAAGTCATCACAAGAGCAGAAACAAATGATAGTCTTGTTCTTTGAGGTTACTAAAGTTACAGCTGGATGTTTTCTCTCTACTAAGTTTAGACATTAAGCCCCATTCAACTTTGTCTTGATTAAACAATTGAAAATCATATGTGTACATACAACTATTCTAATCAGCATTTTCCTAAAAGGACTAAATCAATGCAAATTTTTTTTTTCAAAAAATGTGACTCAGAAGAAAATACCCACACACATGCATGCACACACAAAACATATATTGATATTGAAATGGAGCCTATGATTTTTAAAGTCAAGAAGTTAATTTAAATATAATCTTACTTTTATGTAGTATTGCATTGATGGAAAAGAATATATATCTTTGTGGTTAACCCTTAATGGAGATTCAAATAACAGAATTAGACTTTAAGTATTGCACTTGTTAGTTAAATGGGAAAAGAGGTTTCTATTATACTACACTATTACTCCTAGTTAAAGAGACTAGGACATTTTCAAAAATTTCTTAATGACCCATTTTTGTTTTTGTTGAAAATTCACTTTTATTTTTCTAATGGGATACGTTGTTCTAACCCATTCTGTACAAATGGGTTTTTTCCCCTACAAATATAATATTGGATGAAGTGAATTTATAAATAACTTCAGATTCAAAAGCAGACTAATTAGTACATTTTCAATTCTTCAAGCCTGCAAATTTGGTATTTTAGGGACCATTGAAAAAAGTGGAAACTTTGGGGACTTTCTGAAGACACTTAATGGAATCTAGCAAAATCATTCCCGATGGCCCACAAATTCTCTGTGTGATAGAATTATAACTTTTGTCTATTAAAAAAGCATAATTGTAATTGCGGAGCAGTATTACTTTAAAGTTATTTATCAATAAAACTCTTACTCTCTCCGCTCCCTTGTAACATCAACACTACTTACTGAGGTTTTCTTCTTTTCGTCTCAGTGTTCAGTCTCTTTTAATTTCAGTTCTGTGATCATTTATAAAAACCATTCTGCAGTAGTTAGCTTCTATACGATGGATATTCAAAACAGGATGCTGGTTGTTTGTCAGAATTTATGTCTCTATAATGTTCCTTTGCATTTTATAAATTGGGAAATCATTTGTGATGCAACTATCTCTTTGCATCAAGTTACACATTGACTCATAAAAGAAATCCACTTTATTGATTTATATTGCTTTCTGACGTATGAATGAAAGGCCCAGTCAACCCTGTTAAGAAAATGAGAGTCAATGCTGAAGGTAGAGGAGAAAGGAGGTGGATAGTTGAGAAAACCTGAAGTTTGGTGTCTTCTTCTCAGGTCAGGCTCAGGTGAGGACATGTAACAGTGACCTTGAAATGCCAGAGGGACAGAGAAATTGTCATAGTAAGAAAGACATCAAAAGAGAACTTTAGAATAATAGCTGATCCCAGAGACAGGTGTTCGCCATTATAGTCATTCCGAACTTCTTCCCCTGAAATCACCTCACACTCTCAAGGAGCTCACTCTTCTGTGACAGGCACCAGGAAGCAACATTCCAAGAAGCCCAGCATTTGGCTGCAACCGCTATGGCCAGGTAGCACACCCACGAGGATCTGAGTAATGCACGCCGGACACTGATGTTCACATTTCCATTTCTTCTGTTTCACAGGTTTTCTGAACCAGATGAATAACTCAAGTCACTCTGTTCTTCAGCCTTCATTCCAAGGATGCATGCAGCTTATCCAAGTGGACGACCAACTTGTAAATCTGTATGAAGTGGCACAAAGGAAGCCGGGAAGTTTTGCAAATGTCAGCATCGACATGTGCGCCATCATAGACAGGTAAGTCTGTTCATCCTGCCTCCAGTGGAACAAACTTTACCAAGGCATTCCTTGGTTGTACAGCAAGTGAAATGCCCAGAAAAAAAAAAAAGTTAAAAAAAAAATAAAGAATGAAAGAAAGAAAAACAAAATATGGGTGAACTAGGAATTGTCACTTGCAATGCCTATTAAGTATATTTGTGACATTGATATCATTGATAAGATAATTATATCTATGTGTGTGTGTGTGTGTGTGTGTGTTGTGTGTGTGAGAGAGAGAGAGAGAGAGAGAGAGAGAGAGAGAATCATAATGTCACTTTAGTGCATCAGTCTGCTTCAGAGAATATGAGCATCATGCAAATACTTTTGCAAGCAACATCTAGGTTATGGTAGATCTCTGACACTTCATTTGAACCTTTTCTCCTTATCTCGATCATGATTTGACTTCAGCATATTATCCCCTCCAAAGACTCTGCAAAGAAAAAAAAAAAGATAAAACATTACAAGATGTTTCTGGACAAATGGAGATTTATTAATACAAAATATTTCAAACAATTCCTTCTGTTTACAAGATGTGTGCATAGAAATATTACAATATCTAGTCTGTTTCAAATTTTTGCAAAACTTGAAAAGTGCTTTTCATAAAACCCTTAATTGAATTCTCACAATGTAGAAGAAACAACTTTCCTATGAGATATTCTGAGAGTATTGTATACACTACCTTAAAGTACTTCTAAAAATGCCATTCATTAAAACATTAAATGATTACATTTTGTGATGTTTTGTCTGTCAACAAATTACTACATCTAACTGTGAGTTAAAGTTAACCTAGTGACTTAAGATGAATTTTAAGCTATTTTCAAAATTTTTGAGCAAGGTCTATCTTATTGTGAAATATAATCCCATTAATTTTATATTATACAAAATAAAACTTCATTAAAATCTTCTTAAATTTTGAAATAAGATATGACTCTTTCCTCAGCTTCTCTAACCCCTAGGCAGACCTTGTCTCTAAAATACATTTAAGTTGAGATCTTTGGGGGGGCTGTCATTCACAGATAAATGAATCTCATAAATATATAAAACAGTACATTATGAGGTAAGTTTTCTTCCATGTATTCTTAATAAAACTGTGTTCATGTGAGTGGTAAATCACAATTTATTGTGGGCACAGAATTTAACTTTTTAAAGCCTAAATATATTTATAATAAGACAAAGATATAACATGGTATGTATTTCTATTATATGTATGAGAATAATGGTTCTAATATCCTACACAGTTTATGTTTAAATAGAATTGTGATCTATTTTAATAGAAACATACTCCTAATTTTTGAGTCATTATGTGTTTGTTAGGTATTATTTCTGCCTAAGGCAAGAAAAGATGAAAAAGAAATTTTTTCTGATATTAAAACATTTCTCTACATAGTTTAATAATTGTTTTCTATATAGGAAAATTTTATTTCTTCTTAATAGTTATACAATGCAATCAAGTATTTCAGTACCTAGTTTTGTTTTGTTTTTTTCCATGTCAGTAACTTTAATGACATAATAATTCCTGTGGATAACACTCAGGTCACCTCATTCAGCTTCACCTGCAGGCTAGATCTTGCATTGCTGTTTCAGTCAGAACATCGAATTATTGGCCATCACAATTAATTTTTTAATGGAGAAGGGCAGGTGCTGTTGAGATTTCAATGTCTTACTCTGATGGAGACAATAGGATCTAAATTGCCTCCCCCCGTAAAAAAAAAAAAAAAGAGAGAGAGAGACTTTGGTAAATGACAAGAATAGAGGAGGGCACTCTTCTGGCAAAGAGACCAACACAGAGAACACGTGGCAAGGAGAATGCAAATTTTAATTTTTGGCAGATATAGTTCTCCCCCGCGCCCCAGATGAGTCAGTCCCAGTATCTACAGGGTCAAGTTTCTTGCGATGGTGGGGACAGGGGCATTTCTTTCTATCCTTTAGGAAGGGAACCTTGGAGATTAGCTGGGGGTAAATAGTCACATTGTCACAAATTTCCTAAGCCCATTAAGGAGATCATTTTGGGCTTGTCCTGTTATTTTAAGAGCAATAACTTTCACACATCACATACCAATAGGGACACTCAGAGCCTTGCTGAGCCTGTTGGTCATGTTCCCCTTCAGCTGCATCTCATCAGTGAGTCTGGAGGTTCAGCCTGTGCTCCTGCAGCAGTGGCCCTCAAGAGGATACCTCCTTATTAGCCGAAGCTTCCAGCTGCCCAATGTCCACTGCTTAATTTTAAAATTACACAATGAGGCACTAAAGAAGCCTGCTTTGACTCTTTCTTACTTTTCTTCTTTCAAATTGCAGCTTGATTGATTGAGGAATTATTTTTGAGGGGAAAAAATGCATGAGAACATGAGGTGAAAAGAAATAAAAGCTCTACCACAGTCCTGATTTAAAAAAAAAAAAAAAAAAAAGTTTGGAGCTAACAAAAGCAGTTGCACCACCCTTGATGAGTAGAATTCAGGGGAAGAGCTGGGGGTTTTGTCTGTGTGTCGTACTGGAATACTCCATGATTTTTACTGTTTTACTTTTTTTCTTTCTTTGTGCATTTGCAAGTGGTTTGTTTTCTTGACTTGCTTCCTTGCTGAATACAGCAGTGAAACAAGGAGAGAGTAAGTTCCCTAAGCTACCGAACTGCGCTTTCTTCAACACTTACTTTGTGACTGCACACTAGACAGCAGGGAGCGTTCTAGGCACTTGAGAGAAATCCATGAACCAAACAGATTTGTGCACAGTTGAAGCTCACACACTGGGGGAGGAAGGGCAGATGGTGAGGGACAGATATAACTTTAAAATGAATATAATGAGTCTGAAGGACTGAGTGTTATGGGGGAAAAATAAATAGAGCAAAGTCAGGATTGGCATGGCTGGAGATCAAGGTGTTTGGTTCCAGCTTAAGTGAACCTCACTGAACCCCAAATATTCATGCACGACCCTGACAAAGTTAACAGAATTTGCCAATTTGTGGAAAGAACATTCTAGGCACAGAGAATCATCAGCTCAAAGATGCTGCCTATCGTGACCAAGGATCTGTGAAGAAACCAGGTGGTGAGCTTGGAAGGACAGAGGAAGGGCAGCAGGCAGGAAGACCTGCACAGCCCTGAGAGCCGCATCCTACAGACCTGCAGCTCATCGCAAGAATTTGACATTTATTCTGAGGGAACCAGGGAGCCACTGGAGGGCTCCCATTGAGCAATGACACCCTGCAGTTGGCACATCCAATGCAGGAGTCTGGCTCTGGGAGGAAGAAAGGTAGAAGCAGGTGACTAATTAGAAGGGCCTTCTCCTAATGCAAAGAGAGGTGCTGGCAGCCGGGGCCAGGGGCCTGGTATCTAGGAAGACAGGTGTGGTCAGGTTTGAGTGTATTCAAGGGGAGTCAGTAGGATGTCGTGGTGGATGTTAGATGGAGGATGTGAGAGAAAAAGAGGAAATGAGAACACATCTGGATTCACTGATAAGAACAACCTACGAAAGGGAGTTTCTATTTCCTCCGACGGGGAAGGCCTGTGGTACTATGAAGGGGCGATGAGGAAAGATGTCAGAAACTCAGTGTTGGTTGTGAGTAGGTTCATCTGTTGGAAACCTAAGTAGAAATGGGGAGACACACTGGGATGTAACTATGGAGCAAGCCTGAATCTTCAGATTGCACAACGGTCCTCATGACTGACAGTGATCATGGGACTCTGGACCTTTGGTGGTTTTTTTATTCCATCTCATGGGCAGTCCCAGGACCAGAGGAGAAAGTGGTGGTGGGCAGGAGCCTCTCTCGGACAGCTAGGTCTCTGGCTTTCACCTCTCAGTGATTTGCTCTCAGATAGGAGGATTTTCAACAAACCTTCAATTGCTAAAACGCTACTGGAAGAAAGATAAGCTATCTTGAAAACAAGCTCCTGTTTCTTTTTGCATCTTCACCATCTTTTGTCCAATTCAAGGGTCCGGACACCAGGACTCCTTATAGCAGATATCCTTAGGCACGGGCCCAGCTCCTATGTCCGACTACGTTTTCATCCACATGAGGTTGAAAATCTGACAGCAAGAGACTCTAGCCACACTCCTAGAACACTCATAGGCTCAGTCACTCCCCCCGCCACCCAGGGAGAGGCACCCGAAAACCAGAGGTCATTTCAGAGTTGGGGAAGGCAGGGTGCTCAGGGGCTGGAGTGAGTCCTGGACAGTCCTGGCACCCATTGGTCAGGTCTGTACACCTTAAGAGTAGCTGCAGAAGACCCTGCCCTGGGAACTTGTGGGCGCACGTGGTTGCTGGACTTGCTTTCCGTGGTCACACCCAGGAGGTATGGCAGGGGGGCGCTGGCCTTAGGGAGGTGAGCTTCAGAAGGCGGTGATCATGCTTGAGTTGGTTTGGAGCAGTGAGGTCTACTCTGCAAGCTGCAGTTTCTATTTCAAGCCTAAAGCAGCCTCCACAGCTCAGCCGCCAGCGGGATGTGTTTCACTTTATCTTAGGCAGGAGCAGCGAAGTGGCACAGCCCTGACTGGGGAGAGATAAGCACAGGTCCACGCTGGTGTTCTTGGGAAAAGCTTTTGTTTCGCTGAGGAGCCTCTGTCCCCCCAGCACCCTTGTTTAAAACACTACTGATGCCGAGGGCTGAATGGGCAGGAAACCAGAGATCACCTGGCTGGATCTATATGCAGGGGGGCGGGGGACACTTAATCCTTGCTTATTTAAGTCAGTGTGAGTCAAGTTTTGTTTTCTTAGAGCCCAAAGCCTCTATTCCTTCCACACCCTCAGCATCTAACATCAACACAGCACCTTTTTGAATCAGAACACAGAGGGGCAGACTCCCAAATGTGCACATGGCTTTGAAAGAAACAATAATTCTTTTAGGATACATTAAATTACATTCTGCTGATGTCCTCCTAGCGATTGGACTAAGAAGCCATTTAGAGGCCAAAGCAGATTCATATTGTGACAGTTTACTTTCGTGCATGTCTTTTAACGGGGCTATAAAAACTAGAAAATGTAACTCATT